CGCCGCATCTAAGATTTCTTCTACATCAGTGCTGACGTCAAGACTCGACATCTCGCTGTCCACGACACATGTAGGGTATATCGACTTCTTATTTTTAAATATTTTGTGGAGTTCACTTTATGTACATAAATATAAATGAAAAATTTTATTTATTTCACTTAAAGCATATTAAAAAACCTAACGCAGACTTACTTTTGATATGCGCAGAACTGTCTAGTCCTTCCCGTCTTGGAGTTATTCGAAGCCGCTTGCTTGTAGTTCCGTTCTAGGGTATAGAATTTCGTCTCAACTTGCACCGCCGTAAACATGTAGCGCATTTCGCAAAGTTCCTTGCTAATTGTACTCCACATTTGCTTCTTGTTTTTTAGCGAAGCACTTTTTCCAACCCTTGGACGTAAATCCCTAACCTTCTGGATTAAAAATCTCGTTGGCGCATCCAACCACAGTGGCTTTGCTAAATCTGGCGATTCTCCAGAGGCCGTATCCACATTTTGCTGATATGCACAATCAGGCTGCTCAGATAGAGACATGTCTGGTTCGTTTTGGGAAAACGTTATTTGTCCAAACGTATCTTCCCCGGCCACTTGCTGTATTACACACTGCCGATAATCTGCATCTGCAGGTTTGAATACGTAAATAAAACGTGTTTGTTCACATTGCTTATAGTTTAATAATCTTAATTTCTGTTTCTTACCTGCTTGAATCTTTTTGAAAGTTCCTGGGGAACAATTAATTGTTAATTCATTGTTATTTTCCATTTTTATTCTTTATTTTTTCCCACCAAATAAATCAGCTGTTTAGCTGCTTGCAAGTTTTTGCAAATTTTGCGTTCTCGTACTTCTGTTGATATTTTGTCTCTTTGAGAGCGAATGCTGCTGAATTCTCAGAACTTTTGCTGCTGGAGAATTTTGTCCTCTCAATACGAGTACACACCTAATATGTACATACATATATTCAAATTAGCGAGGGAGAGAAGAGGAAAGAAATACACGAAGAAACTAAACAAAAACATCGAAGTAGGCATATTCATCGGCGTAGCCAGAATGAAATTTAGGGGGGGCTCGACCCTATTAAGCTCGAATTTCAGGGTACTATTTTATATATATATAAGGAAAATTTGAAAGTAAGGGGGGGCTCGAGCACCCCCCCCCTGCCCCTACCTGGCTACGCCCATGGGCATATTTTAATTGAATTTGGTGTTTCAAATATTTTTGACTGAACACTTAAGAACAGTTATAAGTTGCGTTCCTTATTTCCCAAAAAAAGTTATAAAAGGGCCGAAGTAGTCAGATTTAGTCCAAAAAGCGTTCCTTAACTCGAAA